AGACTTTGAACTAACCATACTCTCTCAATCGAATTTGCTTACTTCCTCCCTGCTCCCCCACTTCCTGTCCACTTGACCAATTAGGATGTAGACACTGAATATTCTGAGGCTGGCCACACCCCTACAGAGACTGATTATTACTATGAGGAGACCTTCACAGAGCCAGAGGGTGAGGTGGTTGGACAAGAAGAAAACGCTGTACAGGTAAAAAGAAGATGACACACTTATCAGAAGCACACATCAAGTCAAGCTAGAGTCCACAGAACAGCTTAAACTTCACATACGAGTGTTTTAATAAAAACCTGTGAGGGAGAGGATGATGTGATTCCTGTGTGGTGGTGAGCCCAGTCTTTGTAGTGTAACAAAGTAGTTTAAGCTCTTTGTTTCTCCGTTTACTTTTCTAACCACTCATCACTGTTTTGTTGGCATCGATGTCACGTGACAAGACATAAGAAAAACCTCTTTCAAAACAGAATGCACCGCAATCATCCGAGTGTACCATCGGATATTTTTACGTGGTTCCCGTTTTTCCTAACAGCAAGAGTCCCGTTTTGTTCTCATCTCGAGATCCATCATTGTCGTTATCTCGACATAAGAACAAGAATCTTGTGAAAACAGGATCCACATAAGAATATTTGATGTGTGCTTTAGACGACAGCAAAAAAAAGATGAATTAAATGCATTCTTGTTTGAGAGAAAATCTAACTGTACTAAAGATCTAGATGATTTGCAAATTCATCACATTTTTGATTTTGTTTTGTTTTCCAGTTTCTATTTTTGCTGCTTTTTTATCAGGATATGATTTAGAAACCAAATACCGACATTATTCATAATTATCAGGGAGGGTGTGTCAGATATATTAATGCAATGTGGATTTTTTTATATTAGAAAACTGTGCAGTAAATTCACTGGATTCTTGTTTGTTATTAAACTTACATGGTAAGTACAAAAAAAGAAATAACATAGTTTTTGCTTTGCGTAGCAGCTCGTCTTCACAAAGTGTTTAACATCAGTTCTGTGTGTGCACGTACGATGCAAACATCACCATTAAAAGTGTTTTTACTTCTCAAACCTTTACATTTGTGAGAACGTATTTGATCACCGGTCATCACGAGGGCTGATGTTAAAAAGCTTTGGTGAAATTATTCCAGAATAAACTAAACTTCAGATGATTAATGGAAGATTTAGGGTTTCCAGGATAAACCTGATCGCCTGTACGGTCTGCCAGATGTCTGTTTGTGTTCTCTCCCTCTGTGACTGTTTATTTAGAAAAGGTAAGACTCACTTTTTTCTGTATGCTCCTCTTCCACCGCTGCTTTCCTCTCATTCTTTATTTCAATTCCACCCTGAACATTT